ACCATCGGGGCTTTAACCCCATCGGAATCGACGGCAGGATTACCCTCTGTCGAGGTACCTGCTTGGAGGATAACGTTCGTTACATCACACATTTTATTAAAAAAGAAGTTCGGTATTTGATATGGGTGTGATAATTAACAGTGTAAGTGTATATGTGTCGTGTTATGTAAGTGGGTGTACCTATATCAGTGTGAGAAAGAAGTGTATTTATGTATATGTTGTTTGAGGAGCTCTGGAGGCCGGGACAAGCCGGAGATCCCCTTACGTACTTCGCGACCAGGAGAATAACGCGTTTATAGCGCATCCCACACTCATACTCAGGAAGAAGCCTCTCCGGAGGGTTCCCCTTTCACCTCACCAACATAAAAGGCGCCGTTTATAGCCTTAAACCTTTCAGATTCATACATCAGCTCCTGCTATCCCGCAAGCTGAATCCCCCCAATCTGCGTCTCGAGCGCATGACTAAACATGATCCGACGTGCCGGCAGAGATGGCTAGCGTGGATAACAGGAGTTGCTTATACTGAACCCGCCGGTTCAGATTCTTCCGGCCCATTCAGAGAGATATTGTGTTTATAGCAATACCCTCCATTAATAACATTCCCTAAAATGCTGATATCCAGATGATCCCCACCTCAAAAGCTCTCCAAACTACCCTCCTCCTCCTCCAAACAACTCAGCACACGTACACACATTTTATGTAAAATAGAGGCTAGCTCCTCTGACCACCAGTGCAAGGATTTTCTTACGGGAGTGGCGCCTTTGCGTGGCATTGACGCATTGCAAGCGGTGACTATCATGTTCCTCACCGCTCGCACCTCCCCATCCAGACTGCTCGGCCTCTTCACCCAGCCCAAGATTATTATTATTATTATTATTATTATTATTATTATTATTATTATTATTATTATTATTATTATTATTATTATTTTTATTTTTTTTTGATTAGGGAATTTTGGGAAATCTGCCTACAGATACCTTGCATTCCGCCCTCCAAGGTTATGTGGGGTTGGTATGATAAAACAAAAGGAAATATAAAAAAGAAAAATAAATATATAAAGTAGTAAACTTAATAAACTGGCGACCTACTGCCAGCCCGACCCACTAAAACCCGTAACCCTTATTCTAGAGCCCTTTACCCTCCCTCGGAACTGTCGTAAGACTTTAGCCTTCAAGGGTGGCGCTCCAACTCTGTCGCTAATGCGACTTTCTGCTTTTCTCTGCGGTTATCCTGCGTCCGTAGTTAAAAAAATGTTTAAAACTATTTTATAGTCTAAGCGGAATTTACAGCACAACAATAATAAAAAATTTTTTTTAAGAAGTTTAAAAAGTCAAAAGATATAATAGCAAACGGATATAAAAAAAAAAGAAAAAAAAGTAAACACGTATATAATGTTGAAAAGACGAAACTGTACAAAGATGAATAAAAAACACAAAACAATTAAAAAATGTATAAGGACAAATAAATCACAAAATAAATTAATAAAAAACAAATAAAACAAATTAAAAGCTGTTTAAATTACGCTTTTTGGCGGCCGTCGAGATCTTTCCTCGAGGAAAGATAACCGAGATTATAAAGTTCTCGACTTGCCGCCAATTCTCCTCTGACTGGGTCATCAGCGATACCATGTTCTTCGGTGTAACTTGACTGTTTACACCTTCGAACATGGCCTGCCTCTCCAAGTCCCATTTCTTGCATGAGAAGAGGGTGTGCTCCGCGTTGTCCTCAGGGAACTGGCAATATGCACACACCTCGTCCTCGCGTAATTTAAAGCGGCACAGGTACGAGTTAAAACACCCGTGACCTGTAAGCGCCTGAGTCATATAATAGGAAACCTGACCGTGTTTCCTATTTATCCAGGTGGCGAGTGCCGGGATAAGGCGATAAGTCCATCGACCTTTTTCCTCACCATCCCATCTTTCTTGCCATCTTTCTATGAGCCTGTGCCTCGCTTCTTTGCAAATCAGGCCCTTGCATGGTCTTAGTTCCTCATCCAAGGAACTGCTTTCTTTAGAAAAGAGAAGCATTTCTTCCCTTTCCCTCGCCAAAAGAGATCTTTTGGCGAGATCTTTTGGAGCAGATGCTGGCGGGACACTTGCAAGGACCTGCACAGCACTCGTAGCTACCGTCTTATATGCAGAGATGATACGCGTTGTTATCGATCTCTGCGCCGACAGTATCTTTTCACAGATGGTCACACATCTTTTATTCCTCAGGGATGGGGCCCATGCTGGTGCTGCATAGAGCATTTTAGCATGGGCGACACTCGCCACCAGTCTCCGTTTTTGTTCACGGGGTCCGCCTACATTTGGCATTAACCGTGAAAGATTAGCCGCACACTCGATCGCCTTATTTGACGCCGTAGCCATGTGGTGGTGGAAGTTTAACCTTCCATCCAACTCTACACCAAGATATTTAATTTGCTTACTCCACTTGACCTCGAATCCGTCTATCACGATTCGTGGGAGCTCATAACCACGTCTGTCTGTGACCAGCAGTGCCTCGGTCTTTTCCAGGGCCATTTCAAGACCTCTGGTATCCAGGCAGCCTTTTGCTAGTCGCAGACATTCGTTCACCAATGTCCCAAGAGCCTCCTCACTTTCGGCAGTGCACACGAACAACGCGTCGTCCGCAAAGCCGATGATCACCGCACCTTCAGGTAGATCCATTCGCAGAAAATCATCGTAAGATACATTCTATACAAATGGACCCACCCTCGAGCCTTGAGGAGCCCCACGCTGCATCTCTTCCCTGAGAGTGCAGGTGTCTCCCTCATATATAACCCACCTGTCGCTAAGATAATTATCCATTATCCGCAACAAGTAGGGCGGCATGTTTTTCTTTTCCATCGACTCGATGAGATCTTTCCATCTTGCGGAATTAAACGCGTTGCGTATGTCAATTGCTACCAACGCGCAGAAGCTCTTCTTTTTTCCAGGTCCCAATTTGTTTTTTCCTGCTTTGGCTATGTCCACAACTGCCTGGATATCGTTACTTATCTCATCGATTCCAGGCGCCTTGCCTGTTTTCAATCTTTTGCCTGCTTTTTGCAGTTCACTAAGTGCGAAGAGTTCTTCCTCTTCGACTTTGCAAAAACTCCAGTCCCTTCTAAGGTATGGTTCTGCAGGAGGAAACAAAGAACTTATTATCTTTCTGACCCAATCGGGATTGTCCAGGCCGGGGGTCTTTTGCCTCGTCACTAATTTTTTTAGTCACGATGGGTACTTATCGACTTCCTCGATTAGGTCCTTCCAGCTACGGCGTCGCGACCTGCGGATCTCTTTTTTGAGGCCCTTTTTCGCCTCCTTGAATGCCTCTTTCAGCAAGGGATCTCCCTTAGATCGGGTATATGTCCTTCTTGCTGTGAGGCATTCCTTTCTCAAGGAGGCTAGCTCCTCTGACCACCAGTGCAAGGATTTTCTTACGGGAATGGCGATTTTGCGTGGCATAGACGCATTGCAAGCGGTGACTATCATGTTCCTCACCGCTCGAACCTCCCCGTCCAGACTGCTCGGCCTCTTCACCCAGCCCAAGTCCTCAATTAAAAGGGCTTTTCTTAGGGACCGGCCGAACTTTTCCTTGTCGAGTCTCTTTATATTCCACAAGGAGGTCTTGCGACTAGGAACATCCTGTCGCTTTCCTCCTTGTGTGTCTCCCATCGAGACTGAGAACTCAATGTACTGGTGGTCACTTTGATACCGGTCAACTGTGTGGTGGGTAGGTGACTGGCTCAAAGGTGCGAGAGAAGCCCAAAAAACTAAAATTAATTCGGCAATGAAATTAATATTTTAGGGAAAAAAAATGTTGAATTGAGAATTACGAAGGGGAGGGGGGGGTAAAACACGATGACTTTAGCGGCAGTAGTTGACAGAGCCGATCGGTGACGTCGACCTCAAACCCAAGCAGGGTTCCGAGAGACGAGGACCCGTTCTACTCCAGGTGTCGAGCACTTGAACCTAAGCAAGGTTCTAAGTACTGTCCCCTGGAGCCGGTTGTCGCTACTTGATGGACCTGAGAAATAATGGTGCGTTTGTTTGAAACAAAATATTCTTTACGTATAAGATTGACAATTTATCCTGAAAAGGACTAATTGTCAATGTAAAATTTGTTTGCTTTGTTTGTCCTGAAAAGGACAGGTTGGTAGAAATGGTGAGGTTCGATGAAAATTCCGCGGCCAGCGGAACAGAGATGAGACGTCGTTTCCAAATTCCAAAATAAAATATTTATTCAAATATTTTTCCCTGAAGAGGACGGCAGGGCCGAAGACAGTGCATCTGCAAATTTTAAAGTCTCTCCACCCTTTTTCACTATCACGAGAACCTCCTGTTTAAAAGTTCTCCTGATTTTCCGGATCACGGTACCCGTATCTTCTGGGTTTACCTTTGCTTTTATCAGCGGAAAAATACCCTCATACAACTTTGGGTCTCTTGCCGTGATTTTAACGGCTTCCGTGCTCCTTAGCTTCAAAGGGGGCTTCGGAAACTCTTTTTTCTCACCTGAGGGCTTTTCTTTTCATCGAACTTTTTAAGGGGGTCGTTTGGGGAGAAGTAGCAGCTGTAGATACGAACACCCGCCACCTCTACCCAAACAAAGCCCTTATCTGTCTCCAGGAAATCACCAATAGCGATGTCCGGGTTACACACTTGTATTCCGGACCTTCCCGATGCGTCCTGGAACCAGACAGAGAATTCTGGCTTTCTACACTGCTCACTGAAGATCAGTTCCACATGGGGAAACAGCGCTCTTATGATTTTTTGAACCCAAATCGGATTGCCTAGACCAGGGGTTTTTTGTCTTGAAACTAATTTCTTAGTAACAATTTTAAACGCCAAACCCCATGGATCATTCTCGGTCTTCCCGATTAGGTCCTTCCAGCACTTTCGTTGGCTACTCCTTATAGCCCGCTTGAAGATTCGCCTGGCTTTATGCCAATCTTCTTGCAGCGTGAGGTCTCCCTTCGAGTGGGTATATTTCCTCCTCGCTGCATTGCATTCTCTCCTTCAGCGGGCTAATTCATCGCTCCACCAGTACAGAGCACCCTTCCTTGCTTTTGTTTGGCGCCGGCGAGGCATAGAGCAGTTGCAAGCATCCGCTATAATCTGCCTCGCCTCTCTCGCTATACCCTGTACAGAAGTTGGCTCCTTCTGCCAGCTGGACCTCTTGATAAGGCGAGCTTCGGACAGGGACTTTACCAACTTCTCTCTATCTAGTCTTCTGAGGTTCCAGGAAGGTTTCTTTTTGTCCTTTTGTGGACGATTGCACCCTCCCGGCTCTTCCTCGGAGACTGAAAACTCAATGTACTGGTGGTCGCTCATGGTCACCTGATCCAGCACCTTCCAATTCTCTACTCTGCAGGCCAGGCGAGAAGATGCAAATGTTAGGTCAAGAATTGACCCTGACGCTCCTCGCCTAAAAGTGAGCTGTTTGCCCCGGTTCATCACCACCAGGTCATTCGCCGAGACCATATCGGTGACCAAGATTCCTCTCCTGTCCTGGCGGGTCTCTTCCCATTCCGGCGACTTACTATTGAAATCTCCCGCAATGAGGACATCCCCGCGGAAAGCTTTTACGCTCTCCTCAAGAGAGCGAATCTCGGTGTCGAACTTCTTTAGGGGATCGTTTGGGGAGAAGTAGCAGCTGTAAATACGAACACCCGCCCCCTCTACCCAAACGAAGCCCTTATCTGTCTCGAGGAAATCGCTGACAGCGATGTCCGGGTTGCAAACTTGAATCCCGGACCTGCCCGATGCGTCCTGAAACCAGACAGAGAATTGTGGCTTTCTATACTGCTCACTGAAGATAAGTATATCGGCCTTCCTCTGCCTGGCAGTCTGCATCAGGAGGTCCTACGCGGCTTTACCTCTTCCGAGGTTAACCTGGAGCACCCTGAATTTTGGACTTTAGCCCCGATAGGATTTCCCAATAAACTGGGCAAGCCCTGCTTCCTGGGAGGTGGCTTACATCCCGTGACCCCTTATCCAAGCAAGTCACGCAACGAGCTGAGCCTTTGCATGCCTTGCTCTTGTGTTCTGGATCGCCACACTTCCAGCAAGCGTTTCTCCTGTCTGGGCCACCGCAGCCCCGCGCCAGATGACCGTAGCAGAGGCATCTAAAGCATCTGTCTACTTCCACTCTGGCTCGGACTCTGCAGTTGACCCAGCCGATCCTAACATGACCGGTCTTAATCAGCGATTCCGCGTCTACGTCTGGCAGACGCAGTATCGCCATCTCCGTACCTCCGTACCGAGGAACAAGTTGGCAGGGCACTTCCAACTCTGGCTTGCCCAAAGCAACCCTGTACTGCCTTCTGTACTTTTCCAGCGACCACCGTCTCGTCAAGGTCCACGATCTCTATTGGCCTCGTGGAGACCACTGTCCTAACCTCCGCTTTTCCATCAAGGGCAGTGGTCAGCGCACTGCTAAATGCAGTAAGATCCTGTCCCTTTTTAAGAACCAGGAGGATCTCTTTCTTCCTGGATCTACGAACCGACAGGATCTTGACTTTGTTATCCTCAGGACTGACCTTCGCGAACATGTCATCCAATATCTTGTGGTCATCTTTTCCTTCACCAACGCTTATTGTAATTGCGTCTGTCTCCCTTTTATTCTTCTTTCGGGAGGATTTTTTTATTTCTCCCTTTGGGTCATCCCCCGAATTTTTCTTCTTTTTTTTCCTTTTCTTCTTTTTGCTCTGGACCTCATTCCAGGGCTCATCATCTGTTTGGGTGGCTGTCCTTGCCTCCCCAACAGAAGCCTCTGCAGCAATCTGCTGAGGAGAGTCTGACGCCTTCCCTTTCTTAGACTTCCTCTCTTTAGGAGTAGTTGAGGCTCCCCTCTTTTTACTGTCAGGAGTGGGAGTTACTCCAGGAATTCCGCCTACACGTCTACTTTTCCTTGTCGACAGGAGATCAATTTTTTTAAAAAATTCTCCCCCCTCTTCCCTCAGGTCGTTTGCCATGCTGAGAAGGCTCTCACCGTAGTGGAATGCCTCAACAGCGCTGTCCTTAACTGGTTTTGGGGTATTTTTCAAGATCCCTTCCTTTATAATTCGGAGGGACTTAACCAATTCCACCATCATTTCACACTGCTTATCCATTAGTAGAGACATGGTCTTCCGACCCTCAAACCATGGAGGTGCTGGCTCCTCCTGTCTAGCAGGAGCAGAGGTTTCTGCAACCTCTGTCTCCATTCTTTCTTCTCCGTTACGGTCCCTTGGACCAGTGTGTTGTTGGCCACCCCCAAAATCCGTGGGCCTTGCGTCGACCATCGAGGCTTTCACTCGATCGGAGTCGACGACAGGATTACCCCCTTTCGGGGTACCTGCTTGGGGTATACTGTTTTTCGCATCACACATTTCCATGAAAACTAAAAAGAAACAAAACGATATGGATGTGATAATTAATAGTGTAGGTGATTATGTGTTGTGTTATGTAAATGAGTGTACCCATATCAGTGTAAGAAAAAAAAAGAGTTTATTAGTGTTAATGTTGTTTGCAGAGCCCCGGAGACCGACACCAGCCGGAAATCCCCTTACGTACTTCTCAATCATGGGAAGAACGCGTTTATAGCGCATCCCACTCTCCTACTCAAGAAGAAGCCTCTCCAGAGGGTTCCCCTTTCGTTTCACAGGCATGAAAGGCGTCGTTTATAGACTTAAACCTTTCAGATTCATACATCAGACCCTGCTATCCCGCGAGCTGAATCCCCCTAATCTGCGTCGCGAGAACATGACTTAACATGGTCCGACGTGCCGGCAGGGATGGCGAGCGTGGATAACAGGGTCTGCCCATTTATGGAAGATGCCGTTTATAGGCATCATATTTTCCTCATTCACGAAAACAAAACAATGATTTCATACTGAACCTCCTAGTTCAGATTCTCCTTGCCCATTCAGAGGGATATTACGTTTATAGCAACACCCTCCACTTACGCCAACATATCCTAGCATTCAGATTTCCAACTGGTCCCCATCTCAAGGTCTCCCCAAACAACCCTCCTCCGCCTCCACACCCCTTCCCCACACACGCGCATTTACATAAAATAATATACAAATGAACGAAGATGAGTGAAGAGAATGGAGCCCTTTACCCTCCCTCGGAACTGTCGTAAGACTTTAGCCTTCGAGGGTGGCGCTCCAACTCTGTCGCTAATGCGACTTTCTGCTTTTCTCTGCGGTTATCCTGCGTTAATAGTTAAAAATTTAAAACTATTTCAATATAAAGCGGAATTAACAGCACAACAATAATTAAAAATAACAAATGTGTAATTAAGTGTAAAAAGTCAGAAGATAAAATTATAAACGGATATATAAAAAAAAAGAAAAAATAAACGCGTATAAAAAATTGAAAACATAAAACTGTACAAAGATGAATAAAAAACACAAACAATTAAAAAATGTATAAGGACAAATAAATCACAAAATAAATTAATAAAAAACAAACGAACAAAATTAAAAGCTGTTTAAATTACGCTTTTTGGCGGCCGTCGAGATCCTTCCTCGACATAACCGAGATTATGAAGTTCTCGACTTGCCGCCAATTCTCCTCTGACTGGGTCATCAGCGATACCATGTTCTCCGGTGTAACTTGACTGTTTACACCTTCGAACATGGCCTGCCTCTCCAAGTCCCATTTCTTGCATGAGAAGAGGGTGTGCTCCGCGTTGTCCTCAGGGAACTGGCAATATGCACACACCTTGTTCTCGCGTAATTTAAAGCGACACAGGTACGAGTTAAAACACCCGTGACCTGTGAACGCCTGAGTCAAGTAATAGGAAACCTGACCGTGTTTCCTATTTATCCAGGTGGCGAGTGCCGGGATAAGGCGATAAGTCCATCGACCTTTCTCCTCACCATCCTATCTTTCTTGCCATCTTTCTATGAGCCTGTGCCTCGCTTCTTTGCGGATCAGGCCCATGCTTGGTCTTAATTCCTCATCCAAGGAACTTCTTTCTTTAGAAAAGAGAAACATTTCTTCCCTTTCCCTCGCCAAAAGATCTGCTGGCGGGACACTTGCAAGGACCTGCACAGCACTCGTAGATACCGTCTTATATGCAGAGATGATACGCGTTGTTATCGATCTCTGCGCCGACAGTATCTTTTCACAGATGGTCACACATCTTTTGCACCTCAGGGATGGCGCCCACGCTGGTGCTGCATAGAGCATTTTAGCGTGGGCGACGCGGACCAAAACCAGCAAACAAGAAACATCCATCATGAGCGATTGTAAAAACGAGGTAGAGTACCTGCGGGGTAATGCTACGGCTAAATCCCTCACTGGTTCCGATCGTCAAGCGCTTTCGAGCGTGAGGGCGGTGGCCAGTGGCCCAAGGATGCAGGAGGGCAACAACGCGTTGGTAGTGCCACAGATCATCGTGGACAGGTCGGAGAGACGAGGGAGACGAGCAGCGTGACGAGTCAAGCCAGCTGCATTTCTGTCTTCAGTAATGCCTCGGCAAAGGACATTGCAAGCTGCAACCAAGATCGGGATGAATGCATTAAGCTACGGGAGGAAGAGGCAACATGCATTCTAGCAATGGAGGAAGAGGTTAACAAGATGATGAAGTCCTGCGAGGTCCAGAAGAATGTCAATATGACAATCAAGGACGGACTCAAAAGCATGAAATCGCTCATACAGGAGATCAAGGAGAAGCACGTAGCAGCTACGAAAAAGGATGTGAGTCTCTACCAGGGATTGACTTGGTCGGAAGAGGCCAGACAGGATCGTAGAGTTAGACGAGATCGCTGTAACGCGATCGTGTTGAGAAACGTCGTCTTGGATGCTCAGAAGCGAAAGAGAAGTGATCCTGAGCTTGCGAAGGATCCAAAAAAGGAAAAGAGAAGAGGGACCTCCTAAAAGATCCAAAGGCAAGGAGATGAAAACGGCACCAGAGACAACTTCAGATAAAAAGGGAAGAGCCACAATGGTCGTCAAAGTGGCTGAAGGAACTACCTTTGCCGAGGTGCTGGCGAAGGTGCGAAAAGAGGCTGACTTGGAGGCCAGCCAGACAAGGGTTGTGGGAGCTGTTCCTACTAAAAAGGGAGACCTCCTCATTAAAATTGGGGGGTCTTCGAACAGGAAGTTGTTCACCGAGGAGGTGACAAAGGTGATCGGCGATCTAGGTAAGGTGCAGATGGCGGATCGGCAGACTGTGCTGGAGATCCGCGACATGGACACCCTTACCGAACAGGAGGATGTCAAAGAAGCCCTGGACAAACTATCTACGGTGCCAGCAGGAAGCAGGAAGGTTACGGTCCTCGGACCAAATAAGCGAGGTATTAAGCTCGCTGTCGTGGTCACCTCCCAAGAGGACGCTAACAAGCTGGAGAAGATAGGGCACATTATAATCGGTTTTGTGTCCTGCAGGATAAGTAGAAGAGTTATGGTCACAAGGTGCCACAGGTGCCTTGGCTATGGCCATATAGGTCGAGACTGCCAAGCAGTAGATAGGTCAGCTGCGTGCTTCAAGTGCGGAGAAGCCGGCCATAAGGTAGCAGATTGTAAGAAGAGCCCATGCTGCTTCTTATGCAAGGCGAAGTTCGGCGAAAAGGAGAACATCCAACACGTCGCTGGATCTGGTCGGTGCAAGGTCTTCAGGACTGCCTTAAAGGAAGCTAAGAAGACCCTGTCAAGAACAAGGAGAAAATAATGGCCAGAAGAAGAGCGGCACGGAAGAGTCGCGCCAGCGACTAAATGGGACCATCCATCTGCGAAGTCTGAAGCCGAAAGGTAGTTCCGTAGGTGGATAGAAGGTTCGAAACCCAGGGGAATCAAGAAGAGGTTTTAGTCGGTATTGTGACTGCCGTAAAAGCAGGTATGTGAGGTTTCTTTTTTTTCCT